CTTGCCTAGCTTTCAATATCTCCGTCTCTCTCTGTCGAATTTATTCTTGGTATGAACACAAACTGCGATACAGCTTATGTGAAAAAGTTGTATATCGTAAGGACATTTGCAGTCAACGTTTGGTAGATGTAAAAAGCACTATTGTCATGAAACCTGAGCACAGCCTCCACAGAAAGAGGCTTTCGGGATCAATCCCAAAGGGCACCAATCTAAGGGATGCTCTGTTGTCAAGACTTCTTCACTAAGGAGAGCTATGAAGACACCTTATGGAGTTATGTAAAAGAAATTACAGGGCACTACATGGAACAATTTACTAAAGAAAATACGTATCTTCAGCTCTCTCTGTCTGATGGGAAAACTGAAGGAGTAAGAGTGACACGGCACTCCAAATATTTGAAGCTAATGGGAGGTGCACGTGCTCAGCACCACAGGTTGGGGAAAAGGTCTAAATGATCTGTTTGCAACCCGTCATGAGTCAGTGCCCAAACCAGAAATGGAATCTGCGCGTCCCAAAAGACAGCCCTTAATCAAAGCTTACATATTCAAAGCGATCCTTGCAGAGCTGAACCATGAGGTGAAGAAACACAAGTCCTGAGAACCAGAGGCACCACATGACCACTTCTTCCACTGTCTGAACATTCAGCACGCCAAAAATAAAGATGAACTTGTAGAAAATGAAATTCCAGAATTTATCCTTGAGATGCTGAAAAGGAAGACACTTGGTTACTGTAGTGAAAGCACCGACAACTCACATGCATAAAACTGCCTGCTCATAGCAGATAATACGCAGGGGAGAAAGGGAGGGAGAGAAAATGATGGGAATAGCAACATGAAAATATGTTAACAAAGGACAGTTGCATACCCACCCAGAATAGTATTTGTTAACCTTACAGAATCTCAAACCATATTAGAAATATTAGAAGCCCTTAGTATCTACTCAGTCTTTGGTGCCACTGCAGCAAAATAGTGCCACATAGCGCACAGCGTACTTTCCTGCCATATTTCTAAAATGGTGCTTAGCACAAAGGAGGTCTGATCTTGATTAGATTTTCCATGCCCAAGCAGCGGGCCTGTTGGGCCACAAACAACAAGTTTTCTCTGCTGGATTGATTAGATGAACGGCCACGCTTAGTTAGAGCAGGTGCCCACCTGACGTGGCACCTCACTTCCAAAAAAACTGTCCAAAAATACACACTAACTACTTTTCACATCAAGTGCAGAGATGATTAAGAAAAGGTGACGAAGTCTGCTCTTAAAAAGCACAATGCATACAGCGACGAACGAGATGGATGAGCAATAAAAAATTAATTATTCCCACGCACACACAGTATGAAAGAAACAGTATGATGGTCTCAAATAGCAAATAAAAAAGACGTTGGAGATGGAAAAATTTTATAAAATGGAATGTTTTGTTCAAGAACAGGATGAAGAACATGACCAGTAGGGTAGTTAAGACAGGTGCAAAATTCCTGCAGGATGTTTTAAAAATCTTCTCACCTAGCCTAAGACCAGAACCAAACAATCTGAGTTTTCAGTCCTTTCACCTCACCTTCCCTTGGGTACCTACATGCCAACCCCTTTTACACCTGAGGACAGACAGACCATCTATTCAATGTCTGAAGATAGAAAGTACGCACACTCCTCTGGCAGTCAAGGCACAAGACAACTTGCAAGAGTGAACTACACCTGCCAGTGCAGACAACTAACTAACTATGAAATGCAGAGGAAAAGCTGTCAAATGCAAGCTTAACAGAGAAGAATACACACACACATATATATACACACATACACATATATAGATCTAGAGTGAGAGAGAGAGAGAGAGAGAGAAATATTCCGAAATGAGGTGCCCTTTTAAGAAATCTGACAACGTTTATTAAGGAAATAGGATTTTCAAGTTGACCATGGGCTTGTAAAAAACAACAGCAACAATTAAAATGAAAAATTCCACTCAGAAATAAACTGCAAGCTTGTGGCTCTGGATACGAGCTAAGTAATACTTGCGTGACAAACTGATGGGTTTCTCGGGTGGATTTTCTCCTCTGCGGTTTTAGTGGATAGCGTTTTCCAGAGGAAGAACTCCAAATGGTAAGATTTAAGCTTACACTGTTTTAAAACTTATATTTATTGTATAACTTTCAGGAAGTTCATTATAGAAAACTACACCAGTCATCCACCGAGAAATTACGCTACATGAAAGCAACACGGATATCCAAGGCAATGCGTTTGCCCATCTTACCTGCCTCTCACTAACACGAAGGGGACCAAACACCATATACTGGATCAGTTTGGCGACCAACATCAGAAAACAGCAGGCAGTGTTCACCAGTACCTGAAAAGAAACAAAGCAGTCAGCAGCAAATACTTCAGCTCTGCTCAAAAAGGGAGAGGGACGGGGAAAGCCGGAGTCTAGCAGAACCACCCGTTGCTCACGGAAGAGGGGTTTTTGCTTGTTTGCGTTATTGTTTTTTCCTTTTAAAAGTGAAGTTTCTGCGTGGCCTCTTCCAAGACACGTGTTGTAGCTGATAACTCACTTGACTTTCTTTCTAGGAACACTAACGTGATCAGTTTGATACGTCAGTATACCCCACAAACAAATCTACCTCTTCACGATAAACTGATAAAAATTAGCACGTTTAACACTAAGGAACGCGGAGCCGAAGACTTATAGATCACCAACACACAGGAGATCAGAAAACTCCAGTTCAAACCTGTTAAGCGTTACAAGAAGAAGATTCAGAAATTGTCTCTAAATATACTCAATAACGCGTATACTTTCTGTAACTACACTGCTTAAATCCTTGGATCACAGCCGTGGGCAACTGTTTTAAACCAAAGCAGCAAGAAGCAGAACACACGGGCCTGGGAAAATCGTTTCTCCTACTGGACGACGATACTTTTGACCCATACAGAACACCAAAAGCGGGAGGAAAAAAGCGACGAGGCCGCCTCATCCTCTCGCTCTTAAAGGCCACGCAACCAACTTTTTCTAGGGCTTTCAATTAAGCTCCTAAGCCCAAGTTTCAAAACGGACTCAACAGGCTTAATACCTTAAGCACATCCAAAATCAAAGCCCCAGTCAAGGCGGTAGGCTGTAAAGCAGACGCCTAACAAGGCGAAGTTAAACAGTGACAGCCCAGCTAGGTTTTTCGGTAGCCCCTTTTTGAGCCTTTATGTCACTAGACACGATACGGAAAGGAGTGCAGGAAGATTTCTCGCTTTATATCTATACCATTGTCAGGCTCGGGTTTCAAGAGCTGCGCACATTTTTTCCTTCCCCCCCTTTTTTTTTTTGTTTGTTTAGATGGTGAGAACGATTCGTATCACCTGCATGACTTCACCTTCTTCTTTTTTTTTTTCTCCTCTTTTTAAACTAAAAAAGGCAACGCTTCGGAGCCGGGGTTGACTACGCGCCTCTCTCGCAGCCCCACGCTCAGCGCCGAGCCCGCCGCCGCGGCCCCCGGGCAGCTACGTCTTTTTTCCA